GTAAGCTTCATAAGATACTGCTTCTTCTTTAACATTCATTCATGCAATGATTACTGAGTGCCTACCACATGTCAAAAGGTACTGTATATGTTGAAGAGTCAATAGTGCAAAGACAGTCAAAGTTATGGAAATAAGAATATTTTTATTAAGCCTTTAATTAAATTTGAGCTTGTTTGTATAAATATATATATATATTTGTGGTTTGCTAAAATATGTATATATATATATGTTAAAATTTTAATGTTAAAATTAAAATTTTGATGCAAATGACAAAGATACATAATGCAAGAAAGTGTTTTAAACACTCAACTCCAATTAGATAAGGAAGTCACACCACATCATATACTGCATAGACTATTTAAAACTAGATGAGACAAATTACGTATTTCATAAAGTGATTTTAATATATTAAAAATCGCTTGTGGAAAAATTAGAAGACATGTACTTATACATATCATGTATTTTGCAAAAGTGTAAGTCTTGGACAGTAGGGAATGAATGCCTATGCTACTGTTTATAGTACTTATAAAAGCTTAATGTTTCCCACAGAGAGGAAAGCATAGATGTTTTTAAGTTGCATTTTAAATAGGGACCAAACTTTGAACTTTTCTCATGAAATTTCTCTCATTTAATTTATGCTTTATAGTTTTTTGTTTTATGAATTGTGGTGAAAGCAGTAGCACTTATTGTTTGAAATATCAAAAATCAGTCTCTTTTTAAAATTCTTAACACTTCTGTAATTATCATACTAGGGCTTGTAAAATTCATTCTCTTTGTGTTATGACATTGAAAGAAAAAAAAATTATTTCTCTCTCTCTCTTTCTCTCTCTCTCTCAATTGCAAAGTAATTGAAAGCCTATACCTTACTAAGCTGGTATGCAGGAAAAGATAAATGTATTCATCTTGATGTATTTCCATGAAGTGTTTCAGTGAAATCTAAATGTAAATAGGTTTTCACTTATTATGTTGCTTTATGTATTACATTATTTCATATATTTTTTCAGTATTATTTCATGCCTTCATTATGTTATTTGTATCATTATTTCCACTCTTAAGTCTTTCATTCACCATCTTTAGTTGTTCTTTTACAGCTATTTAAGAATGTAAGGATTTCTAGGTAATCTTTTGAAATTTATTTTACTTACTCTACTCAGTCTCTGTTTCCATGTTCTTAAACTTAGTGGAAAGTGTCCTCTAACTTCCATCGTGGCATTTGTCAAAAATGGTAATATAGATTATTCCCTCTGGTGAGAAGGAGAAAGAAAAAAGTGGAATGTAACATATAGATGAAGAAAAGAAAGAATTTTAAAGCTCATTTAAATTGTCTTTTTTTGTTTTTTTAAGTAGATGAACAGAACAAGTTTGGGACAGTAGCAAGAGTGTAAAATATCAGAAATATCTAATAACCTAGACTTGCAATATTAAAGTCCTTTAACTGTGATACCTTAAAAAGTAAAAGTATGTTTTCTTTAAATTTGGCTTGACTTTTTTTGGTGTCGAGTTTTAAGGATATAGTTAGATGTCTTTCATCTCACTAAGTGAAACATTTGCTTTTTTTTTAACTTTCCTATCAGACAGGTTACAATTGAATCAGTTGGACTACAGTTTCTAGGTTTCTAAGAGGAACAGTTGGGTTAAGACCAGATTAACCTAAGACGATTCTCCAACAAAAAAATTATCTTTGACAAATATATTATGAACAAAAATATTGATTTTGATAAATATAAAAATGAAATGGGAGTTTTTACACATGCTAAGAAGATTCAAATGTAAATACTATTTTAGTACCTATTCAGAAATCTTGCAATACTTTCGTCATCAAAAAAATATTCAGCACAACTCTTAGATACTAAGGGAAGAAAATGCATATAATTTGTTTCTCCTGGTCTTTTCCTTTTGGCTTTTCCTAAAGCACAGAGGATCTAATATAATGCCTAATTTAAAATTAAAAACACCTAGAAGGGTGGTTATGGAGAGGAAGCGATTTTGAATGATTATGCTTTTCCAGTGTCCCTGTAGCCCTCCTTATTTTCCAGCTGGGTTTAGCATTATCTCTGAATCAACAAAACCCAGTACCTTACATTTTGCTTTTTATAGCATCAGTATTGAATAATGTGACCAGAATATTTATATCTGGGGAGCGATTGGATATCAAATTTTGAAAGGCCAAGGTGCTAAATTTTTTTAACTCTTATTACGTACCCTGAAAATGGGCAAATTAACATTTATTGGATGATGATGTCTTGATCATGAAAAAGGTATCAAGGATGTTGACTTTTTACTTAAATTGAATAGGTTCAGAAACTCAAAATACTTTGGAGTTCTAGGAAATTGGATTGGTCCTTTATTTACTCAAATTCATCAATGACAGTTCTGTATGCTTTTTGTTATTTATGTGTATCTCAGCAGTTACATAGGCTTTTTCAAAATGCTGTTTAATCCTTAAAATGAGGAATGACTTTTTTTCATTTCTTTTGGGATGCTAAATAGGAACATCAAATTGAATGAAAAAAAAAAAAGCTTGGAGTTCAGTGTTCCAAACTTTGCAATCTGTGTTTTCTCTCTTTATCTGTATTTCCATCACAAGCAAATAACTGGGGCAATTTCTGGAGGTTTTAAGCAAATAACCACTTCCAGATGAAAGCAATAACAAATGGAAAATGTATGTTTCAGTTATATCTAAAATTATCTATATTATATTGGTTTTATGCACTTACAAGCGGTTCCTATTTTTCTGGTGAAAGATGTGACGATAAATCACCAACCAATTTAAACATGGTATCCAAGAGCGGATCAGAGTATCTGTGTCACTGCCATCATATTCTTTGGATGGAGAAATACTTGAAAGTGAACATGTGAAGAGTAGGAAAGTACGATGCTTTTCATCTAGACTCCATGGGAAGTGGTAACCAGACACTCGCCAGGAGGCCACTGTACATCAGAGGTGAACCAGACAGCTGAACATCTGTCCACTTCATGGAAGATTTTTCATCTCAGAATACATGTCCTAATAAACAACAGTTGGATTAAATCGTCTATGATGTTCAACATAATCCTGAACTACAGCCGAGAGAAGGAAGGGTAGAATTGCATTTCCTTTTGTAAAGTGGAAACAGCCGTGAGTGCGGCCTCTTCTAAAATCCGACATTTAAAGAGCATTGTAAGACATCAAATTCTTCAATTTGGAATAAAGAGTGGCCGAAGTTACTGGAAAGCTCATGTCTCTGAGTCTGCAAAATCACAGGCCAGGAAAGAAAGACTTTTCTAACACCCAATTTTAATACTGTGCTAAAGCCATTGACTCTGTTAAAACCCCAGAGTTAAATATGATCCCCCCTCTCCACCCCCTCACCCTTTCTCTCTTAGGTTAGTGTTTGGGGGACAAGGAGGGGCTGGAGCTTGGCCCCAACCTCGGAATTGCTGCCAAGGGCTTGTAATACAATCTCTCCCCATTTGAAGGGTAAATCAGTGTCAATTGCATTTGCTGTCCACCAGAAAAAAGTAAGCATTTTACTTTCGTTCGGTCTATGTGGACTGATGAAATGTAGGAAATCTGTTTCTGGCAAGGGGAAAAAGTCGTTTTCCCAAACAGCACCAAGAGGAGCCATCACAGAAGTATGAAGAGGGGCAGTGCGGCTATAGCTGCTGCCGCTGTGCGGGTGGGGTGCGGGGAGCCTCTGCTGCAGGACCTGCGCCTGGAGGGGGCCGGCCCGCGGAAGCTGCAGGAGCCCAGCCCGGAGCCCTGGCGCCTGTGAGCGCAGCCAGCAGCCCAGCTCTGCACCCGGGGGTGAGCACAGCGCGCCGGGCCAGCTCTCCGCAGACGCCAACGCCAACGCCAACGCTGCAGCTTGCGCGCTCCGCAGCCCGGGGTTGCAGGAGACCCTGCGGGTCTGTTTGCGCGGGAGCAGCGGGGGGAGGGGAAGGGAGCCGGTCCTTAACAATAACCTCAGGGATGTGGCGGGGACTGGGGAGACGCCGGGACGGTTGCACAGGCTGTGTTGCTGAGAGTGGTGGTCACTGCCCTGGGTGACTTTCTGATTTCCTAGAAACAACCATGTGTTCTTCTTCCCTATTGTGGAACAGTCCAAATGACCGCAGCATGAAAAGCCAGCTGAGACCGCCCAGCCAACCACCGGCCGCAGAGAGGATTTGTAATTAGCACACCGAGATTATAAATGCATACATATGCATATGTGCACAGGGGTGTTTTGTCGTGCACGCTCTGCGTTGTCTGTTGTTGGAGGAGAAGGGATAGAGAGGCTATTTTTAATCGGTTGATAGTGAATGTTTGCGTCAATGAGGCCAGGATGGGAGGAATTATTTGGAGTGATAATTGTTTTGATGAGTTGGATGGTGTTGAGTATTTTTTACATCTGTGAACAAAGGCTAGCCTATATACCAACAACTTTTGTAGTTTTGTATGGTATCTTACTTTTGTTTAGCTCAAAGAGTAGACTGGAGTCTGAACTTGTTTAGGGAGCAGAAGAGCTTTGGAAGCATTAATTATCTTGGCAAAATCAAATTGTATCAGTTCAGTATGGTAAATTGCAATTAACTTTGCCCATGCAGTCAAAGTTTTTAGTGTCTGAGACAGACAGGGAGGAAAATCAGGAGTTAGCAGATTGTTTTCTATATTTCAACACAATTGGAGGTGGAAGTGGGTTATTTAATACTTTCCTCTGGTTAATTTTTTCTTTCTTTCTTCTTCTTCTTCTTTTTTTTTTTTAAATCACAGCCTTTACCCTTTCCATATTCTTCATCTTCATCCTTTTACAGTCAAGACTTTACAAAACTTTACTCTTACCATTTCCCCACCCATCACTCAACCTCCCAATCAAAAAGCTTGGTTAACTGTGTATGGGAGATCTTATACTGAGGAGGTAAGATTTGCATGTGTACAGGGACACCCATTTGGCCTCCCAGGGTTAAATAAAGGCTCAGACAGTTTGGATGTACCAATCAGACAGAGGAAGTCCTCCTTTCCTCCCCACCTGTTCCCTGAGGTCCACAGAGACAAGACTGAAAACAAACCCTTGTGCTCATTGCTTCTTTCCCCCACCTCTTAGTCTTGTGCACACTGATTAACCACAGCTGGAATCTGATTTGCCCATCTTGTCTTTGAAATTGATCAATGAGCTCCTTCTCAAGGAATGCTTCCTCCTAACCCTGGAGAAGGTGATGGCAGTGATCCTTTCCAAGACGGGTGTTCAGGTTATGACAGTCTAAGAGAAGGTAAGGGCCTGAGGGAGGAGGATGGGGACAATAAACCTTTGCAATGCCCATTGAGCTAGTACATAGGACTGCCTGAGAAGTTTCTGACAAGGATAGGTAGTTAAGATTTTAGCCTCTTTGCTAATAAGCTGTGGGCTTATTTCTTCACTTTATTGTTAAACATCCTGCTTTGATGATGTGGACTGTGCTGTACTGGGAAATAAATTCACATGGCAAAATTTAATTTACCTAGTGCAAAAGAATTTGTGATTGCTTCTGAATTTTTAGTGTCTTAGCCAAACCTTAAATTTATAGATATGGTAAAATGTCAAGTCTTAAATTAACCTGCAGTGTGATGTGTATTTTAGAATTTTGCTTCAAGTCTGGAAGTATGCAATGTAGACTCTGGGAGTCTTTTGAAGGCCTATATTACCTTGGTTGAAAACAGAATGATGAGACTCTAATAATTTGTTTATAGGGATACTCTTGTTTAAAACTTCTGCAGATGTTGTAATGCTATTTTGGTATTTTTGTGGTTTTGATATTATGCCTTAGACAAAATCTGCTGTTTCTTTTAATTTTTCCTGAGTAACTATCAAGGTTTTCCACTCAATGTTTTCTGACTAAAGAAAAGAGCTGGAGTGAAAGTAGAAAGTATCTCTTGTGAAAGTTGGTAAGATGCCTATGTAATTTTCTGTATTAAATGTTTTCAGGGTCAATTCAGTTGAGTTTTTAATAATTTTAGCCCCATCCATGAAGGGGCTAAGTGATATATCTATACATATATATCTTTATATAAAGTGTTTCTATATGTATGTATGTGTATATATATATACACACACACACACACATATATGAAACTCTCCTAGTTACAACCACATTAGAATTAAGTAAATGAGAAGTTTTCCAGCTATGAACAATACAAAATAAATCTCATGGATTAAGCTTTATCTAATCAGCCCTTAAATTTTCCAGTTAATTAATTCTTGATACTTTTCAAAGTATGTTTTAATTTAATCTGGCAGAAGTTTAAAAATCTGTACTACATTTTTTGGAAGAGTGATTTTGTAGTACTTATGAAAAACAACTTGAAAAACTTCCTGATGCTGTGAACATACAGAAAAGCCATTCCTACTTGTTTTCATTTTTTGGCAATGGCTGGACAAGAAAATGGTTTTGTAAGTATACCACAATTTTATTCAAGAGAAATTATCATGGGGCCATGGGATAAGAAGGAGATACCTGAAGAGAGTTAGCATTACACAGATTGGGCATCAAGAAGGTGGAGAAAGTTTTGTGATTGTCCCTGAATTTTTAGTGTCTTCGTGTGAATCCTAGCCAAGGTTTCTTTTAATTTAAAGATTTAATTACATAATTAGATAAACTAGCATTGAGTGCTTATTTTTGCCTTTATGTTTGGTAATTTTAAAAATTTGTGTACAAGTTGCTCCTCTTACAGAAGTAGAGGTCTCATTGGAAGATTTAACTGAGAACTGTTTAAGTTGTAGACCTTATTTTCTGATTATATCATTAGATTAAGATTTTGTATCCATATTGGTTGTGAATATATGTCTTTGTGGAGATATCATTGCTTAGCAGAAATAAATCACATGGAATAAAATACAATGGTCAAAGAACTGTCCTAGGTTGTTTATTCTTTGAGTCCAGCTTGTAGCTGGCATTTTCTCCTGCCAGATTTTGGAAGAGTTATGGGGTTGAGACTTCTGTTTCTGTTGTTTTTAATTTTGTTTTAATGGTCTATTATTTTTGTTTCTGCATCGTTTGTTCACCTGTAATATGCAAAACTGGATAGATAGAGGTCTGCAGATTAGAGCAAAGGTTGCCATTAAGGATAGAACCATTGACTGTGCATCACTGGAAACCGGAACTCATAGATTTTAGTGGTGAGGGAGAGAAAGAGAAAGACAGAGTGAGAGGGAGAGAAAGAAAGATATAAGGTAGGGCAGTAGTGATATCCTCTTCTTTATATTGATGAGTATAGCATCTCCTTATCTTAATAACTTAAGATCTTCCCTCATAGCTGGGATGACAGGAGCACACTAGCACACCCAATTTTCTTGTCAAGATGGAGTCTTGCTAACTTTTTGCCATGGTTAGCTTCTAACTTCAATCCTCCTGCTCCTTGCCTTCAGAGTAGCTGGGATTATAAGTATGAGCCACCATGCCCAGTCTATAGCTAATGGACTTTAACTGGTATCAAAATGCAGTATAATTTATTACCAATTTTTAAAAAATGTTTATAAATTTTCATTTTAGAGTTCAGCATTTCATGCATCATCATTGGGGGAACATTTTCAACATGAAGAAAACTTGGGATGTTTTTATTATTTATGGCTGTGCAATTGATTCTTTATCTGTTAGAAGTTCTCCCTCTTCTCTGTTTTCTTTTATTAATGATTTAGAGTTATAGATTGCAACTATTTTGTTGCAGAATTTATTTCCAAAATGAGTCAGTGGAAGTTTTATTTTGGCACATTTCCTGATGGTTATGATTTATATTTTGTTAACATTGGATTTAAAATATATGCTGAGCACTGGCACAAATATTTAATCCTCATAATTATCTTTAAAATGATAATTTCTGATGTATGCAGTGAGGAACTCAGGTGCAAAGAGAAACAATTACTAAATGGTAAAGTAGTTGGGTCTTTTTTTGATCCTATATCTTCTGATTCCAGTATTATATCCAATAATTGATCTCTTAGTGAAATATCAAAGACAGTAGTGATATAAATTTATCTTGTTTTATTCTTGCTTTTTTTTTTTGGTTCTTTCCAATTTATTTCCAATGTAACATTGCAATGTATTTTCTCTAACATGTCTACAGTCCAGAGATAGGCCAGCAACCATTTGGTCATGGCCAAAGCACATCTCTAGATGGCATGAAAGAATCCTTTTTCTTTAGAGTCAAAATTATGATGTCTCCAGATGGAATTCTGGACCAAGAGACTAGACAGTCTTTAAACATGTGATATTCTACTCATGGAGTCATTAACCTTCCCTTCTTCCTTTGGGCTTGTTCAAGTCTCATCATATTCATAATTGTTATTCCAGAATCACTTCTACTAGGGAAAGAAAAAATACACACACACACACACACACACACACACACACACACACACACACACACGTTCTTTTAAGAATTTTATATTGAGTTTCTGCATGTTTTTCCCTTTAAGTTTTATTTTTTAAATTCCAAATTCTGAGGGCTGAATTATCCTTTTTTTGATTGACCCAGAAAGTTTGTAAAAGTCATAGTTTTGAGGACTTACAGAAATCTTTAAGTTCTTACTCTTCTCAAAGTTATTGGCTTTAACACCAAAATTATCAAATTTTTAAATATTTAGATTATATAAACATAAAATTTATTGAAAATAGCTTTCAGTATTTAGATATACAATTTTTTATTCTTCCTAATATAACTTTTTTGAGTCTAGTGAGTAATTAATCATTTCATTTCCCATCTTTAAAATCTACTCCTTAACATCATTTGTAGGTGTGAAAACTTTTGAATTAATTCAAAAGAAAACTGAAATGATATTTGTAATTCAATTCATCCAGAATCATTCAACATTAATTAAAATTTTTAAAGCATCAAATTCTGTACTTATCTTTTTATCTGGTAGCATCATTTGTTCATAGCAATTTAGTCATTTAAATTGGAATCTACTTTACCATGGCATAAATTCCTCCAGTCTCTAAATTTTGATCCTGTTAGCTGGATCTATTTTTGTGTTTTCTGTCCTTGTCTCAGACAAATCTGAGACCTACACATGGTAACGTTCAGGTAATTTACCATGTTATGGGCAATTTGCTGGTGATCTGAAATATGAAAAACAGATCAGGAGAAATTTGTTTGACAATCCTAATTCTTTCAGAAGGAACTTAAGCAGAAGAGGCCTCATTTATGACAATGACTTTAGGTTTCTGTATAATTGTCATATGTTTAATTGTTTAACTTTTGCATGTTAACTACCAAGTACGCCTTCTTTCTCTCACTTTGGCCTCTTCTATATAAGACTATCCTTGCTTCCCCCTGACTAACATTTTGATTACAAAATATTGAAATGAAATTGGTTAATTATTCTTACTGCTTTTACTTAACAATCACTTGTTCATATTAGAAGATAGCTTGAATTACATTTCTGGCAAAACACAAGACAGATTACATGAGAAATAAATGTGCCACTGTCAAGGAAAATAAAAACTTCACTGTTCAGAAGGAAGGATTGTATCCCTCTGGCTCACTGAAATTGTTACATGCCATTAGGCTGACTGTAAACTATCCCTTGATGAATTCTGTGCTGGACAATGAGCTTAAGAATCTGAGGTGTCTTCTTGCTTTTATAGAGCAAAATAGGACTCTGATGCTTAAATGGAAGTGACAGAGCACATAATAGGGAGTAGGTAAAGTTACTGAGCAACCACATCTCATTTTCAGGAAAGTAGTGGGAGAGATTGTGTCTTGAGAAGAAAGACATTTTAGAGGTAACCCTTTTAAGATTTCAATTAGTTATTTAAATGTATAAATCATGTGCTTAAATGTATGATTACTTAAATGTTTGCTTCCAAGTCTAGCCAGGCTATAAGAATCCTCATCAGAGTTTTGCTTTGCTGTGAATGGACATATTTTTGAAAGAATTGGTATTAAAAACGTTTCAAGTTTTGGGTATTTAATCACAGGATGTGGAGAAAATGTTACAACTTTTTATGAATAATGTCATCTGGGAGAGAAAAAACAATGGTAACGTTCTAATTCTTATACTGACAATTTAGTACATATGACAAGGTGTATTGAAAACAGTTCACATTTTATACTGCTTGATTCTAGATAAATAGATATATGGAGAATATTTTAAAGAAAACTCTATGGCAATATTTTCAAAAAATTACTCAAAAGAGTAATTGCATTAGAAATGATATTGTGCCTTAAAATTGTATGTTTATGATACATTTTAGGTATTTATTCACTTTCCAACATTCTTTCCTAATATTTGGGAGATGGTAACATTTTGAATTTTTCTAAACATCATATCTTAGTTTTTCAAAAGTAATTTTAAAAGAAATTAACTTGTACTAAATCAATTACAGTTTTAGATTAACTAGAAAGGAATGCTTATGCAAAGTTTCAAAGAATCAAATCCCTGAGAGAGCATACAACTTACACTGGTCACTATAAAAATACCATACATATTGAAAGATAGCTGAAATCCCCATGATGTCATATAAATCTTAATTCTTGCCTGTTGAACATATTTTTTCATTGTCATTCAATCATAATACATTTGACTGTTTCATATGCATACTGTATTTGTGACAGGCTAGAATCCTACATGTTGTCAAACGTAATTTTGTCATTTTAGCTGCTTCAATATTATTCAATATTACTTCTGTAGACTCGGGTCATACAAAAGTGCTAAATTCAAGGCCAACTGTATATTCAAATACCTTTTCTATAATTCAAATAGAGGATAGCAATAGGTATGAGGTCATCAGGTTAATGAAATTGTCTCAATTTTTTTTGTCAGCACTTGGATTTAAACTCAGGGCCTTTTGTTTGCTAGGCAGGCGCTCTACCACTTGAGCCATGCTCGTATTCCTATGTCTCTTTTTAGATCGAAAGCAGTTAGGTACTTCTACTTAAAACTAATTGCGAATAAAACCCAGTATGTAAAACAAAGCAGGAGGATGAAAGCATAAAAGATGACAGTAGGGGAAAACAAAAAGCCCTGTTACAATTAGGGTACAGTTCTTGGATTGTCAGTATGAGTGCTTGATTTATCTATTCTGAAAAATGTGTCTTTATGGAAAGAATACTAATCTGGAGTATGAAGACTCAGATTCTAGTTTAACTCCACTGTAATTTAGCTATATATCTTGGTTAAATCACATATCCTTTATGGTTTTTGTTTTCTGTGAGTTTGAGAATTGTAGTAAGGACTCTTTGAATCTACCTCCTATCTTGTCTACCACCCACATTTCAATTGTGAGTCTCTGAATGCTTGGGCCCTCTCCAATGAACCAAGTACTATGCTTACTCTTTTAGGTAGTAGTCAAGAATAATTGTTACGTGTTTACAAAAAATTGTGAAAATACTGCCACTGATAATATTCAGTCTTAAAATTCTGTGGAAATCAGTATTTCCAATAACCCAAACAATGGGAGTAAGAAATTTGACGCTAAAATCTTAATTCAACCACTTTTTATTGTGTTTCAATAAATGACACTTTTTGCCTTAGCAGCTGGCCCTTTCCAGATATATTGTTTTATACAAGCTAAGAGTCTTTTGTTTGATTTTTAGTTTGACCTTTGCTGTTGTTACAAGTGGTTGGCTAAAAGTGAGAGGACCGGCACAGATAAAGCAAATAATGTTTCATGGGGCTTAATAATTAATCACATGACTTGTCATCAAAAAATCCCACAAATCTGCTTCATTACTATATCATGGTATGAAGATAAAAATCTTCTTCAAAGAAATCTGTAAACAGAAATTGCTCTTTTGTTTCCAAAACAGGTATTTTGAGCAGATTGATAATGTGTACTGCTCTGAGCCCAAAGGTACGCAGTGGACCCGGCCTGACTGATATGCATCAGTATAGCCAGTGGCTGGCCAGCAGACATGAAGCTAATTTGCTGCCGATGAAAGAAGATCTAGCCTTGTGGTTAACCAATCTATTAGGTAAGGTTATAAGATATCATTTTGTGAACAAAGATAGCAGGGTTTTGTGTGTGTGTGTGTGCGTGTGCGTGTGTGTGTGTGTGTTTTAAGGTGTCTTTCACCTAAGCATGTGATAGCACCTTGGAAAGAAAGACTTTCACTATTTGAATTTTTCATCTGGGAAACTTGAAGCATGTGGAAAATTTAAATGAATTTCCCAATGTCTCTCATATTAACTGTGCTTCATAATTCCTCCATGACACACTGAAATGTGAAAATATGTGGTCCAATTGCTTATTTCATTTCCATGCTGGGCTGATTTATTTTTGACTTTTCTTTCATGTAGCTGGCCAGTTTGACCTATTCTTTTGACACTGTTCATAGGCCACAGTCTTTGTGAAATCTAGCTTCTAAAACTGGATTTCTCTGCCCTACTTTTATAACACACCTTCTAAAACTGCTGAATACTCAAGCTCAGGAACAAAAACATCCATCCTTTGTCCAAATGACTAGAATCATTTAACCTTGAACTAAAATTTTTCTTTTTAATTTGCCTTTGTTTTTATGTGCTTGTCTGAAAGTATTGTTGTTGAGAAAAATGCTACCTCATGCTAAAGCTACCTCTTTTATGTCTGGCATAGTCACAGGATAAAATTTCAACCATATATATACATGTATATATATATATAAAACAAGATTTAAATATTGAGTAAGCATATATGTGTGGTGTTTTATCATATTCAAAAGGGATTTCATCAACACTTTCATTATTTCAGCTGTCCTTCAAGGTTAGTATCTTTACTGACTCACTGATGTAACCAAGGAGCTTAGTGAAAAGTACCTAGCTGAAATTTTAACAGTGTTTTCCAATGTCTTAGCATGTTTTAGCAAGATTTTTCCCTGCTCCCCATGGTCATAGGGTTTTGTATGACTTTTATATTTATTTTCTCCTCTTTTTAGTTTTTATCTTACAGTTAGATGTTTACATTTTTCTTCATGTGTACACAATGTTGTATACACTTTCCAAACATGAGTATGCACCCTTTATAAAAGTGCTCAGCTAAAGGGTAATAGCTCAAAAGTACAGAAGACACTCACCGCCCCCCTACCCTCCCAGCAAGATCCTTTGCTATACTGTGGCACTGTTTCTACCAGAGGGAAAGGGGTTACCACTGCCTACAATTTGTCCATGCCAAGGAGAAACTTTTTCTCCCTCAAATAGAGGTGGATATTTTAGCTAAAACATGGATTTCCTTTTTTCCTTTTATCTTTTAAGTGTTCACTAATGATTGTTATATTAGTAATTTATTAACTTCACATCTTCAGATATGAGCTATCACAAGTATCACAGTATAGAAGTTAAAGGGATAGGCTCTGGAAATAAACTGTTTGTGTTTGAACTCCCACTCTGTTGCTTCCTACAGTGTGATCTTGGGAAAGTTACTTAATCTCTCTGTGCCTTATTTTCCTCATGTGTACATCAGTAATATAGTAGTATCTACTTTATAGGTAAATGTGGGGATAAATAATTTAAATACATATAGTATGTGGAACAGTAGCTGGCATATAAGGAAAGACTTGTATGTTGTTATTCCATTTATATAGTTCAGTAAAATTATTGATTTAATTTTGTGCAGAAGTTCATTCACTTATTCAACAACATTTGAGTTTGCAGCAGCATAAAGTATTGTTATAAAAAATAGACTCTGGAATGAGAATGTGCCTCAAACCCCACTTCTGTCACTTACCATGGGATACTGAGCAAGTGTCTTCTTGCCCTGTGCCTCAGTTTTATTATATGCAATACCGATACCAACGTTAAAGAGTTATTGGTGGTGAATGAGATCATGCCTTTATAACAAAGTATTGCTCATAATAATCAACCAGCAAATAATTATAGCTACTGTATTCCAGACACATTCCTTTAGTTCCTAGAAGATAGAGTGATGCTTAAGGATAGTCATAGTACCTATTCTTAAAAATCTTGTAGTAGACTAGCAAAGAAACACATTAAATAAGCAATTGAGTATGCAATCCATTAATAGGACTTGTCATAAACAGTAAAAGATATTGGTTACAGTTAGAACATGAATTGAGGTAGAACAGTACAAAATATCAAAAAAGCTTGGGAAAATCCTTGTTAAGGGACTTATATTAAAACAAAGATCTGAAGAATGGTTAACAGCTAGTCAGACAAAGCATGGCACAAGAGTTTTGGGGAAAGGGAAAGGAATGTTTGAGAAAAGGAGGAATTTGATCATTTTGAAGAACTAAAGGAAAGCTCATGTCATTATCACAGAAAGAGAATTTTATGAAACTTGGGGCTGTATCATACACTGCTTTGAAGAGCATACTATAGACATTATCATTTATAGTTTGGTCAATGAGGAGGCATTGAGATGTTCCAGTAAGGGGAGGTGTGATTAATTAGAGTATTACCTGAGATAGAGGCATGCCCCAATGTCTCAGGACATCATCATAGATTTTTTTTTGTTTTAGTAAATGTGATCACTTACAAAGTAGCTTGATCAGTGTGAGCAGCCCAAGAGAGCCTCAAAGAATGGAGTCAGTGTGTGTAATGGAAAGATCCTTGGATTGAAAGTCAGGAGACCTGGCTCCTAACTGGGCATCAGGAGACCTGGCTTCTGGTTTTGGCTCTACCACTCAGTAGGAAATTTGCCCAAAGTCATTCAGCTATCTTTTCTGGGCTCTGTGTCCTTAACCATAAAATGAAGGAGTTGGATGATTTCTAACATCCTTTCCAACTCCAGAGCTCTAAGTTTCCAAGAAATCTATCTCTTGAGAGCCAGTTTTAGGTAGTTGAGGTCATTAATATGCATAAGCAAGAAAAATAAGATTTATATTAATAAGTGACTTTTCTTAAAGAATACGACTTAAAAAATACTAGTAGTTTTAACACAAATGCAGTTGATGGTTTGTGAAATTTTCTCAGAAAAGGAATCCTAGAAGAATCTCAAGATGCAGCAAAATATCAACTGTGAGTTGACTTTAGTTCATATGAAATAGACAGCTAAGAGAATTCACCTTTATGGTAACTTGGAAGATAGTGTAAAAGCTTCAGATTGCTTGAAATATTAAAACATTGGATATGTTATGTACTGGAATGCTGATAATAAGGAGAGGAGGAATAAATGCATGGTATGTTAGAAAATATTTTCCTTACACATAATATATACACATAGTATTCACATACTTTGGAAATAGAACCATTAAGGTAAGTTTAAAAATTTTTTATCACCAATCATTTTATCACTTCAGAAATATTTGCAAATTTTTACTTATACAGCTCTTTCCCGCTTTGCTTTTTATCTACTTAAAAGTAAGAGATGTCTTGAAAGCATTTTCAAAGTTGTTTTTATTTCAACATAAAGTACCTGAATTCTTTGGTGAAACAGAAATTTCAGTATGAAATTAAGCTTTTTAATTAGGTTTTACTATTTTGATATAGGTCCTCACTTGTATGTGTCTCTGCTTCTTTCTAGTATACTTGCCTGAAATGTACCTTTTCTTTTTATATTTTTTCCAAAGAAGTGTTAATGATATTCTAATTCAGATATTTATGTCCTACTTATAAAATGTCAACTTTGAATTAAGTTTTTTAAAGTATATTTAATATATATTTGAATTTTAAAAATTCATGTAATCATATGTGCATACATTGTTTGGGCCATTTCTCCCCCCTGCCTCTGCCCCCTCCATCTCTCTCTCACTCCCTTTGCTTCCAGGCAATTCAATTTCTTCTCTAATTTTGTTGAAGAGAAGACATAAGCAATAATAAGAAAAAAGTAGCATTTTTGCTAGTTTGAGATAAGGATAGCTATACAGAGAGATTCCTAGCACTGCTTCCATACACATGCGTATTAAAACCCGAATTGATTCATCTCTATCAAACCTCTTGAAGAATAAATATGATTTGATGGAGAAGAAAATAAATTTTTGCTTCATAAACCAATGTTCACATTCATGCCTCAACTGTAGGTATGACATTGTAATTTTCAGGTTTCATATATTTATTCAGTCAAAATAATAATAAGTACCATGTTAGATTCCTTCGCATAGAGTTAAATTAGCAATAGTAAACTGTTAGATAAGCTAAAATTTATACATTAAAATATAAAATACTGGCTATTTTGTAATGGGTCAGCTAGTTTAAGTGAACAATAACTGCAGTAGCTAGGATTTGTTGAGGAATTTGTTTAGTCATATTGCATACCAATATGATTATGGGAGATCATTGTGTAATATTATCTGACTACTCACACATCTGTAGGTATTGCTATTGATCTTTTGGAAAATGTACTTTGCAGTCCTACTGAGATTTCTAATAATTGGGATAATGGATCAGTTTTGTGACAAATCTTCAGAAAAGTCTTCAAAAACAGTCATGAAGATCCTATCCTTCCCTATAAAAAAAGTCCTCTGTTATACAGTAAATATTGTCTTCTGCTATACATTGTGTTCTATTACACATTCAATATACACATTCCATCTTTATTGTAGGTCTTCTGTGGCTATTCTGTTTTTTGATTTTTTTTGCTTATGGACCAACTATTGCTCATTTGTTATTTAACTATGTCTTTAGGAAATATTAGAACATCAAATGTTTATACCAATAAATTTTGAGGACATATTTAATTGTTGCTTTATGCAAACAGCATGCTGTTAAATTAATAGCCCTAGATTATGCCAAGCACACATCATTCAAGGAGGTGGAGCACATACTGCTAATATGGTTGTCCATGGACTTTTGAAGATTGTTTTCTGACTTGGTTTGGAAATGAATATAGTAACATAAAGGTCACATTGTTTAGTTATCTGTACTTTTTAACAATTTGAAAATGATTGCTGACCTTTGTCTTCTATTAGCTTTGTTCAATAATATATGAATTACATAAGAGTATATTTGGAGAAAGTATTGTACTGAAAGTACTTTCAGTTATGCTGAATTGCTTTTTATTTACATTTTAAAGATTCACTATGACAGTTGATGTCATGATGTT